TCTTGACAATATATTTAACAGTGTAAGTATATATATATATATATATAGAGAGAGAGAGAGAGAGAGAGAGAGAGAGTTATATATATTGTTACTAGAGCCTCCCCCAATAAATTTATCATTGGCTAACCAATGATTTCTCAAATATGCTAATTAAACAACCTTTAAAGTAGACTGAGATACCACTGCCTATAGTAGACAATGGTATTCTTTAGAAATCATGGGGGAAAATGCCACCAGGTATACATTTCTTAATTTATGATTGTCCATATATATATATATATATGAGCAATTGTTATATGTGTGTATATACTTGTTCATATATATGAATGATTTAAAATTTAATATATATTTAAATTTAAAATTTGAGGATAAATTTATATGTGCTTCTGTTAGCAAGCAGTAAATGAAATTATTAGCAGATTCATACAGCAGGGAAATAACCAATCAGATTTAATTCAATAGCTTGCTTTTTTTTGGTAAATTTATGGTTGTGGTTATTATATATATAATACATTTGCTGAAGAAAATATTTCTATTGCTTTTACAAAAAATTAAAATCATTTAATATGGATACAGTGTGTCTCAAATGTCTTAGTACAGTTTTGATCTTTAATATCATCAGAAGTAATAGAATTAGAAACATGCCCCCCCAAACCATGTAGGGGTGTAATTGCCTTCATTTCCCTTATACTTTTGAGACTTCTGAAAAATAAATATTTAATTGTATTATCTATTTCTATCTAAGGATAACAACTAGGAAAACAGTTTTCTTTTAAAAAGTCAATATTAAAATATGTTATTCAAGATGACCAAAACTAAGGAAGCGGTAAAGAAATTCAAAATTTTAAACTTGACAATGGTGCTTTTTTATGAATCTATGGTACTTCTTCTGAAGGAATTAATCTTTTTAAAATTTAATTTATTTTTACTGATGTATAATATGTTAATTACTGATATAAAGTGACTCAGTTATACATACATATATATATACATTCTTTTTCATATTATTTTCTATTATGTTTTATCATAGGATATTGAATAGAGTTAGTTCCCTGTGCTGTACAGTAGGACCTTGTTGTTTATCCATCCTATATATAATAGTTTGCATAAGCTAATCCCAAAATCCCAACACATCCTTCCCCATGACACTCCCACTTGGCAACCAGCAGTCTGCTGTCTATATCCCTGATTCTGTTTCCTAGTTACGTTAATTTGTGTTCTACTTTAGATTCCACGTGTAAGTAATATCATATGGTATTTGTCTTTCTCTTTCTGATTTACTTCACTTAGTATGATACTCTCTCATTGCATCTTTGTTCCTACAAATGGGATTATTTCGCTCTTTTTCGTGGCTGAGTAGTGTTCCACTGTATATATGTACCATATGTTCTTTATCCATTCATCTGCCAGTAGACATTTAGGTTGTTTCCATATCTTGGCTACTGTGAGTAGTGCTGCTGTGAGCAAAGGTGCATGTTATCTTTTCAGATAGACGTTTTTTCTGGATGAGATTGCTGATTCATATGGCAACTCTATTTTTAGTTTTATGAAGAATCTCCATACTATTTTCCACAGTGGCTGCACCAGCTTACCATTCCACCAACAGTGTAGGAGGGTGTCCGCTTCTCCACACCGTCTCCAGCATTTGTTATTTGTAGACTTTTTAATGATGGCCTTTCTGACTGCTGTAAGGTGGTACCTCATTGTAGTTTTGATTTGCATTTCTCTGATAATTAGTGTATTTTGAAAACTAAGCTTTGTCAGTTGCATTGTTTGCAAATATTTTCTCCCATTGTGTAGGCTGTCTTTTGGTTTTGTTTGCAGTTTTCTTTGCTGTGCAAAAACTTGTAAGCTTGATTTGTCTCTTTTTTTTTTTTTTTTTAATTTTTTTTTTTTTTTTCTATTGCCCTGGGAGACTGACCCAAGAAAAAATCCCATTGTGTAGGCTGTCTTTTGGTTTTGTTTGCAGTTTTCTTTGCTGTGCAAAAACTTGTAAGCTTGATTTGTCTCTTTTTTTTTTTTTTTTTTAATTTTTGTTCTTATTTCTATTGCCCTGGGAGACTGACCCAAGAAAAAATTGGTACAATTTATGTCAGAGAATGTTTTGCCTGTGTTCTCTTTAAAGAGTTTTGTGATTTCATGTCTTATGTTTAAGTCTTTAAGCCATTTTGAGTTTATTTTCATTCATAGTGGAAGTGTGTGTTCTAACTTCATTGATTTACATATAGTTTTCCAACCTTTTCAACATCACTTGCTGAAGAGACCATCTTTTCCCCATTGTATATTCTTACCTCCTTTGTCAAAGATTAATTGGCTGTGGGTATGTGAGTTCATTTCTGGTTTATTTATGTCTGTTTTTGTGCTAATGCTATACTGTTTTGATTACTGTAGCTTTGTAGTATTGTCTGAAGTCTGGGATGGTAATGACTTCTGCCTTGTTCTTTTTCTTCAAGATTACTTTGGCAATTATAGGCCTTTTATGATTCCATATTACTCTTAGGATTATTTATTTTAGTTCTGTGAAAATGTCATGGGTGATTTGATAGGGATTACATTAAATCTGTAGATTACTTTGGGTAGTATGGCTATTTTAACAATATTAATTCTTCCAATTCAAGAGCATGGGATGTCTTTCCATTTCTTTGAATCATTTTCAGTTTCCTTCATTAATGGTTTATAGTTTTCAGCATATAAATCTTTCACCTCCTTGGTATTTTATTTCTGGGGTTGTGATTTTAAAAGGTATCATTTCTTTACATTTACATCCCTTTTCTGATATTTCATTGTTGGTGCAAAGAAATGCAACCTATTTCTGTCTGTTAATCTTGTATCCTTTTACCTTGCTGAAATCAATCATCAGTTCTAGTACTTTTTGTGTGGTGTCTTTAGGGTTTTCTATATATTGTACCATATCATCTGCATATAATGACAATTTTCCCTCTTCCTGAAGGAATTCATCTTGAAGTTCTACTAAGACTTTTGGGATATCTGTTTAATGAGCCACTACTCTGTGCCTGAAATTGCTCTATACACTAGAGATTCTAGAATTAGCATAATAAAAACAATAATGCAGGTAACAGCAAAAAGCATTCACAAACCTTTCTTGCAAGGAATTAAAGTCACCAGGAGCAGGGGGGAAAACAAGTGAATCACAAGTTCAAAATGGCAGCAATTCTCAAACATTAATGTGCGGAAGAATCATAACAGGCATGCTAACAAGGGCGATTACAAGACCCCTTCTCCAACTGATCAGGTGTGAAGTCCCATAACTCTCCTTTTGGTGAATGCATTAGGAGAGTCTCAGACAGATGTTCTTAGTTGTCATCCACCTTCAGTGTGTATCAAATTCACCTGAGAGTGTTATCACAACACAGATTGCTGAGATCCAGTGCCAGAGTGCCAACCAGTTTCCAGATGGGGCTGATATTATTGGCCCAGGGGGCACATGTTGAGAACCACCTTTCAGAACTCCACAGTATGGGATGGTATGTGTTGTGAATGGGACAGGGACAGAGAACCGTAGGGGAGCAGAGGGGCTTTGCTCCAAATTAGCCAAAGGTAAAATCAGTAGCTGGAATTGGTAGACCCAAGAGAAGTTACCAGAATTTTACCTGCATTTGCTCATTTAATCCTTTCACTAAGGCACATAGGTGCTTCTTAGTGTTCCTGTTTATAAGAAAACCCAGAGGAGGCAATTACTTGGCCTGAGTCCTAAACTGATAAGTAACAGGTTAAAAATTCAAGTCTAGGAAGTCTGATTCTAGAGCCCACACCCTTAACTGTTCTGCATGTAGAGAGGGGTAAAAGTTTGTCACTGAAGGCTTCCTGGGACGCTGGTCTCTGGGTGTAGATAGAAGGATGAGCGGACATAAATACCATCGTGTGTGTGTGTGTGTGTGTGGCAGCAGTTGGGGGAGGAAGTATCAGGGCTTCCAGAAGAATGGGCCCTCCCCACACATCTCTAAGCAGGTCTGCTTATCAAGAGTCTGGAACAGGAGTATGACTGTGGGGTACTGAGAAGGGTTCTAGAAACCTGAGGTTAGAATTCCCTATCAGTTAGTAACTAACAGAAAGTGGATGAATGACTGGTCTTACTTTCTACGTGTAGCTGGAAGTTTGGATACAGTCCTTACAGTGTTTGTCCAGATGCTGAGGAATGTCACCAGGGGACTGAGTTGCTTAGACATTCCAGCTCGCACGTCTCTAGCACGTCCCTGTGGTCCACATAGTTTCAAAGTGACTCCAGAATCTCTAAGAGTGTTCCAACCATTCGAGCAGGAAGAAAGAAAAGTGAAAATTAAATTAAGTAATATTTTTTTTAAAAGGCAGTTTCTAGATGAGGGAGCAAATTATTTGCCACAAATGATCAGCAGACTTCCTCTTAGAGATACTTCAGCTAGGGCTTTAGCTGGCCACTGTAGCCTTAAGGGTAATGGGGCCTCCTAAACCAGCACTCTGATACTGAGGAATAAGAAAAGAGTGGCATTGATTAGCAGAGTCTGCACAGATTTCCTCCCACCAACAAATATTATCCCCGAACTATTCTGTCATATATTTTACTTTAAAGAATGGAGAGGAAACATTACTTATCTGTAAATAGCCTCTTAGAAAGGGTACAGTTATATAATTACACTACCCCCTGGAGAGCTCCTTTCTTCTAAAATCTCTTTGAAAACTGTTCAAGGTAAAGGACATTTCTATCTTAATTTAGTAACTCGGAGTTGATTATCTTGGATTAACAGCCTCTTTCTGCAGATGTCCTGTCCAGGATTTAGAAAATTCTAGAAGTGGACAGAGAAGTTTAATGGTGCACGTACAAGCGATATGCATCTCTTTGAAACAAAATCCATTTAGGGACGAAAAGGCATTTCATGTCTTTGCTATATGTTTTCACAAAATTTTCTTTCCAGTGCCATCCATTTCTCCCATCTGAATTTGTTATTACTAAACATTCCTCAGCATGTTGTCTCTCATTCTGTCTTTTGTCAGGAGTGTTCTCTGGGTCCTCACCCTTCTTCTCATCTCATATTTGGACTCAGCCATCTGAAACTAAAGCAACTGGTCTGCTTTGACTTATCCATATCCTGAAGAACCAGTCTTTGTGGGGAAAAAAAATTTACTAACTAAAAAGGTAAAACACATGCAATCTTTCTGAGAGTTAAACAATTAAGAGAAATATATAAACACTGGAAGAAACATTTTATTTTACAGATATTTTACAGGCAAATGAGGTTTAAAGAAAAAATGCATTAGTTAAACTAAGTAATAAACCTTAAACCTCAGTGGAGCAACACATCAGAAGTTCATTTCTTACTCACTCAGAAGCTCAATATGGACTTCCACAGTCTGAGGGTCAGTTTTCTGCTCAGTGGGACCCACCACCTTCATCATGTAGCTCTACATTTGTCCTAAAAGGGAAAGGAGACAGGAAGTTGCACGCTACACTTACCAACTCATTACCCTTCAGACATACCCTCTGCATGTCACCCCTGGTCACATTCTTTAGAACAAAACCATACCCAGATGCAAGTGAACATGAAGAATATTGTTCCTGGTTTGGTCCTAGTGATGCCTCGCCAATCTAGAGGACCTAAGTAAAATGTAGTCAACAGCTGATTGTTTCTACCACAATGAGTAATTAGTCCAAGACTAGAAGTATGTGGGTGGTATATATACATATAATACTTGCAAACATATATGTATTCATGTGTATATGTACACACACACACACACACACACATATATATATATATACACACAACTGCATTAGTATGAGCTGACACTTGAGGCTTCTGCCTTGTAAAAGGAATACAGATTGCCTCTTTCCTAGTTCACAATGACTGCTACTATTTCCTTTCATCCTGCTAGTTCATCCTCACCTTTCAGTATCACATGAAAATTGTGAAATTATTTCAAAATTTCCAATGCTTTTAATAATAGAATACTCAAACCCTGACAGTTTTACAATGTGAAACTTTTGCCAACCTAAAATGGTTAATTTATGAAAAGTAATTTAGATTGATACAAAGAAAAAATGAGCTGATATATATATATATATATATATAATATATTTAATATATATATATATTTTTACACAAATGCCCGGAGCCAAGGTGCAAAATAAATTGAATATTGGAGGAATTTAAATCCTCTTGGTGTAAACTTAAATATTTTAATTGTAAAAATAATATGAACTTATTGCATAAACCCCCAAATTGAAAGATTTAAAGAAAAGAAAAGTAAACTCAATCCCATTTCTGATAAATCATCACTGTAACATTTTTGAGGGTATCTTTTCAGAATTTTTGTGACAAGTGTGCATATAAATACAATTCAAGCATAAACCACCTTTAATTATTATGTCAAACTACAAATTGGCTCTAAATAACATATTTTTATTTAGTATTATACTCATGATTCCATATCACCTAATAAAAATCTGCATCATATTTTTAATGGTTGAGCAGCATTCTATTATTTATTCTACCAGTCCTTTCTTCTCAAAATTTAGATTATTCATGTTTTGCTAAATAACGAGAGAAGCATCTTTGTTCATTTGTCTCTGAGCATTTGTTTGTTTATTCCCTTAGAATGGACTTCTAGAACTTGAATGGCTGCTTGTCATTTCTGGTGCATACAGAAGTATTGTCTTCCAGAATGGTTACCTTGCCTTTTGTTTCCACTAGCAATTTAACATCTGGTAAGATTTCTTACACTCATCAGTACCAGCAGTATCAATACCAATACCAATATCAATAACAGTATCAATTTTTTAAAAAAAAATTGTCATTCTAGTGAGTAAAATATGATACCTGAATTATTTTAGTATTTCTTTGACTAATAATAGCAAGATTGAACATATTTTTATATCTTTATTGGCTGTTAAGAATTTTACCCATTTTTCATCATTGATTTATAACAATCTTTTACATATCAGTGTGTTTATTTTGTTTGTTATAAATGCAGTTTTTTTTTCCTTTAATTTACTAATTTTTATTTTGTGTATGTTGAACTTTAACATTTTCAAGTCTGTTCAAAAACCCTTTAATGAAAACATCAAATGTGCAAAATCAGTCATTCTCTTGCATTTTGTAATCAGTTTATTTCCTTCTGGGCAGTATGGAAATGACAGTCCTTATTTCACCTTATGTTTAGAAAGAATCTATCCCCTTGGAAAGGGACGATAGTCTCCATGATGCAGTAATGGAAGATTTTATAGGGTAGGTGGGGTCTGCAGAAGAAAAGGCCCCAAATTACACTCCTCTGTGGATTGCCTTATTTATTTAAAAAAATGGCATTAGAGGTTGTGTGACCATCATCAGACAAACAAAATTAATTTTTAGCATGAAATACTAATACCAGCAAGAAAAGGCCAGGATAGGCTGACAGCAAGAATGAGGGTTTATGGGAGTGGGCACAGCCTCTGTTTCCTCAAAAACAACTAGAAATTTAAACTCTGGGGCTCCTACTTGACCCAGTCAGCCTATCTAGTATGTGTTTCCAGGAGGATGAGTAGACTCAGAAGTCCAGGAATTCATCCTTGGTCCCCTCTGGGAATGAGCAGAGGTGATTGGTCCATGCTCTGGAGACTTGGACATCCCCACAGAGTCGTCAAAGTCATGGTGTGACAAAATGCCAATACCAATGATCCTGATGACAGTATCAGTGAAGTGACATTGAGTCCTTTAAATGACCCAGCATGTGTCTGCACTGTGCCGTCCATTAGTAAATGGGCAAAGCCACTTGACAGATGTATCTGATACAATGAATGAGCCTGACACTCATATTTTGAAAAACTGAAATTGTATCCATTTGTCAAGAACAGTGGTACTTGTGCTGCTTTATACACCCAAGTGGAACTAGATAATATTGCAGGCTGTAAGATGTTGCTGCATTTCACCCCTGGAGCCGTTAAAAAACTGAAGAAGCTGTGTCATCAGTGGTTAGCTCCTTGTCACCAAGAATAGTAAAGTAGATTTGTATTATTAACAGCTAAAGAGATTATAAGGTCTACAATTATTGTATTCATAGGGCATCCAAGTTATTCTAAAGAAATCCTAACATTATATTAGGACAGTTTAGAATATTTTTATTTGATTAGCCATAATCTTCTAATTATAATATCCCTTACCATTTAACCATTGAAACTTGGCCTCATTTTCTTGTAGACTAGCTATGTGGTAGTGGGCAAGTCAGTAAACTTTATATGAAATAGAAAATAATATTACATGCTTTGAAGGACTGCAGAAAGTTGATCACCAATGTTCATCACATGCCTAGTATATAGCTGGCCCATAATAACTATTTGGTTAATTGAAGATGTTGTTAGCTTCATTTTTAATTTTATTTCCAAACATTGCTCTTTATTTTTGAAACTCTAAAATTTATTCTGAGAGTGCAGTCCTTAGGCATCTCAGAACGTTGTCTGGACTCCTCCAATATTCTCCATATATCCCTTAATTCTATCCCTGTATCATTTATATTAATGGAATAAATGATCTTTGGCATGGTGATTCCAGGGTGATGAGAAGCTCGGTGGAGGTTCAGTAGACACAGGGAAATATAGATTTCCATGACCAGTGCAAATGTGGGAAAGGTGTTATTCCTGAATTATTGAGGAAATAAAGGACAACCAACTCGAAAGTAAAGGAGAATCCAACTCTGGGCTGGGAGGTAAGAGATTTCATTTCCTGCTGTGTTTATCCTACAGATGCCCATAGGGACTTTTATGTTCTCTAGCAAGAATTATACACCTTATACCATTGTACTTAGAAGTAAAGTATACCACATAATTAGTATCTAAGGGCTGGAGTTAGAATAAATACAGTTTTTTTATTTTGCTTGTGTTAAGCATCTTATAGTTACAACATATTGAGGGATACAATATTGTAGTGATTAAGAGTATAGTATTTTGAGCTAGATAATTCTGGGTTGGTATTTCACCTTTATTACCTCTTTTTTTTCTGTTTTATTGTGGTATAATTGACAAAATTGTAAGAGATTCAAAGTATTTATCATGATGATTTGATATATATAGTCAAAAGGATTCTTCCCATCATGTTAGTTAATACATTTAGTACCTCATCTTTCTTTTATTTTTTATTTTTTTTTTGGTGAGAACTCAGTTTCCACTTTCTAAGCAAATTTCACTTATACAACGCAGCAGTACTGACTGCAGTCACTACATTATACAGTAGATCCTCAGACTGTATTCATCCCACAGCTAAAAGTTGGTATCCTTTTACCAATCTCTCCCTTTTTTACCCACCGCCCAGCCCCCGGCAAACATTTTTCTACTCTCTGTTTCTATGAGTTTTACTCTTTTCCTTTTAGATTCCACATATAATTATCATTCAGGATTTATCTTTGCCTGGCTTATTTCATTGGCATAATGGCCTCCAGTTTCATCTCAGTTCAGGCGCTCAGTCATGTCTGACTCTTTGAGACCCCATGGACTGCAGCACGCCAGGCTTGTCCATCACCAACTCCCAGAGCCTACCCAAACTCATGTCCATTGAGCCGGTGATGCCATCCAACCATATCATCCTCTGTTGTCCCCTTCTCCTCCTGCCTTCAATCTTTCCCAGCATCAGGGACTTTTCAAATGAGTCAGTTCTTCNTAAAAAAAACATACTGGCAGGTTATTTTCTGACACATGTTGGTTGAATCAGCAAATAATTGGTTGAGATCACAAGTGTTACACTTAGCATGACATTAACATTAATTGACACTTAGTGTTAATTTTTATAATAAATTATGTAATAAGTAACAGCAATAGCACATATTTTAATAGCTTTATAAAATTCTTAAGATGTGCCAGGTATTTTTCATGGACTGAACTCCTTCTTTTGTACTACAAGTCATATGTGGATACATCTACAAGTTACATGTGGATATCTTCCGCATTTTTTCCTTTAGAGAAAATTGAAGCTCAGCAAGGTTAAGTAGTTTTCTCAAGATGTGAACTCAGGTCTGAGTTATTCCAAATATAGGTTCTTAACAATTTCATGTCCTTAATGCCACATCTGCATTTGTTTGTGTTTGTTGTTTTTAACTTTCCAAGCATCTGATCTAAAATTCCTTCGTCTATTTGGGGAATTTTCCACTTTGTGACTCTTGGTGAGAAACAGAGCTTTCTTCCTGTTATACAAGCTGAAAATGTCAGATGCACTGTTTATTCTCAGACTTACTTAAAGATGGAAAATAGTCAGGTGACCTCAGGTTGACCAGTTGTATCCATGTCCTGGATTTTTGAATTAGAAATACATGGTGTGAAGGATCAAGGATGGCAATGCTGGGTCAGCCTTTTGTATCATGTTCCTCTTGGGTAAGCAAGACCAGCTGGGAGTTAGGACATCACTCTGGCCTGATCCTATAATTGCAGCAGCAGCAGCCTTGGCTTCCTGTTATTTAGTCTGCTGCTAGTTACTAAGACTTAACCAGTGACTTTCCAAAAGTTTCCTTTTCTGATCTGGTTAGTCAGATCTGGTTCCTGATGCCTACTATAAGACCTTTCCTGATATATAGTGGTGACCTACTTATCAGGGCAGATATATAACATCGCTTTGGCAGGGACAGAGGGCAGGAAAGTTCTTTGTACATCTGAACAAGAAGCAGACCTAAGAAGGAAGAATTAAAGCCAGTTCTGCTTGTGTTATAATTTTACCTGCAGCTGCCTCTGTTTCACAGACCACATGCTAAGGACCACAGCCCTTCACCTATTGCAGATGAGTAAAGTAGACCAGGGCCTTCCAACCCGGAGGCCTGCAGAGCTGTACAGTGGGCAGTCCCGGATGTGAAAGACTTCACTCATTGTCTTTGTTACTTGACACGCTGTTCCTCTCTTTGCAAAGCAGCTTTTCTTTTGGGTGACAAGAATATGCTAAACAAAGCTTTAAGTGGAAAGAGGTGAAAGATGCCAAAATTAGCTACAGAATAAAAGGCATAAGGACATATATTTCCTGTCATTTGATGGTGTTAAGACCCGACATAGAATATGAGTCCTTAAGAAAGTTGGGCATGGCCCAGGGCACGCAGAACTTCCATGTGGCAGTGTGTTCCTGATCAGTCGTGATGGTGAAGGTGGTGGTGGCAACATCAATAGTGTTTTCTGGGTGAAAAGCCCATTATCCTAATGACGTTTTATCCCCATGATAGCCTCATGAAGTAGGAAATACTATTGCAGTATCTTCTGTTTAAAAAAAAAAGGTGGGGGGGGGGTGTGGAATTTACCCACAGTTGGGTGGTAAAGACCTGGATAATTCAGCTCTTCCTGAAATTCCCAGACTGTGATCTTAGGAGTTGTATTGCCTGATTAAAAAAAAAAGGTGGGGGGGGGGTGTGGGATTTACCCACAGTTGGGTGGTATAACAAAGAGACCTGGATAATTCAGCTCTTCCTGAAATTCCCAGACTGTGATCTTAGGAGTTGTATTGCCTGATGCAGAGCTATTTACATGTGTGCTCAGTCACTAAGGCATGTCCGGCTCTTGTGATCTCATGACCTGTAGCCCACCAGGCTCCTCTGTCCTTAGCATTTCCCAGGCAAGAGTACTGGAGTGGGTTGCCATTTCCTTCTCCAGGGGATCTTCCCAACCCAGGGATAGAACCCCTGTGTCCTTCTTGACAGGCAGATTCTTTACCTCTGGATCACCAGGGAACCTGCAGAGCCACGTAAATGTTGCCAAAGCAATGAAACATGTATCTACTTCTGACCTCTTCCAATTCAGAAGCTCTGGAGTTAAGTGCAGAGTAGTTGAGTGTGATTGTCCTTATAGATAGTAGCGTAACTTAAGAGAAGTTCTTTAAAAGTGTATTTTCACATTGCACTATGCTGTCCTACATGTGATAGGTTAGCTATTGAGTGAAAGTGAAGTCGCTCAGTCATGTCTGACTCTTTGCAACCTCATGGACTGGAGCCTACCAGGCTCCTCTGTCCATGGGATTTTCCAGGCAAGAATACTGGAGTGGATAGCTATTGAGTAACTAACACAAATTCTAATCCCTTCTCTAATCTCATTCATCTCTTGTATAATATCTGACCTAATGGACTGTTTTCTTTGCTGTTTCCCACAAATACAAGTTAAACATCCAAACATGCTTACCATTTGTGAGTATATTCCCTTAATTATTTAGGAACTCGGTAAGAGTGAGGGAGAAAAAAGACATACAAATATGAAATACTTGTCATCATTTTTATATATCCATTGTGTTGTTAATCCTTCTTAGTATTTCCTAATATTTACTTGTTTGTGATTTCTGAGGTATAGCAGTATATTCACACAGAATTTTTGCATATGACCTATTATTTATACTCTATTTTAAGAACACTAGTAATTATAGACTACTGACAAACTCATCAGACCCTACATATTCCTTTCAGGATCAAGAAAATAAGGCAGAAGGAAAGGTGTAAAGTGGAAAATCTGTGTGTATCTTTTCATTGCTGGAATAAGGAGCTATCTTAATATTACTCTTTTAGCTTTTCCTTTAAATAGTGCATTTTTTCCCCCTCCACGTGACTTCCATTAGGTAAATAGTAGTCTTAGGGCAAATCTAAGAAGCAGAAATTTCTACCACAACTTCTTTTCAGTAATGGTAAGATCAAACTTATTTTTTTCCTCAATGATAAAAAAAATATTTATGAAAACTTCACCATGAAAATCTTTCCACTTACAGATATAACTTCCCACTGAATTCTGAGAAATGTCATTAGTAAAGAGAGGCGTTGAGAACACCTGTTTAATTTCCCTCTGCTTTTTTGCCTTTCCTTTTGCTATTGACATTACAATGTACAGTAAGTTCATATAATAAGCAGCCTAGGACATTAATATGACATTTGATCTGAATCTCCAAAGATGAGGATGCTATCAAAGTCACAGGAAGGAAAAAAATTTAGAAAGCAAATTTCATTTCTAGGTAATAAAATAACATTTCTTAAGTGATGTCATATTATGGAAGAGAAGAAATATTTACATCTATTTTTTTTTTCTGTCTTAAAACTGCTCAGGAGTGGGGACCAATGAGTGAACTACATTGTTTTAGGTTCAAATAATAGTGATTTTTAGCCATCCTTCTTAGCAATTTTTCAGAAACAAACATAGTTCACTTACTCTCGCTACTAAATATGCAGTTGTATAGATTATGTTTGTGCAATTGTGTAGGTTTATGTGAAAAATTATTATCAAATATATACATATATTTTTAAAAGATTTGTATAATATGGTCTATTCATGTTTGTGCTTACCATTTGTGAGTATATTCTCGCAAGTATAACAGAGGCCAGTGTTCTTTGCTTTGTACACTGCTTTGATTCTGCAACATGCAGCAGCATAGTAATCTGTTTAAGACTGTCATTATTCTAGAAGGTTCTTCTTAACAGGAGTGGAGAAGGAAGACCTCTCTTAATGTGTTTCCACCCTAGGCTCGTGAGCCAGAGAGGGTACCAACATCACTGACCTGACCTTGCTTCAGATATCTATCAGATATTAATATCTACTAGAGCCATTCTAGTGAAAGGTAACTAGAGGTCCAAAAGACTCCCTATAACTAGACGTCCAAAATATACCCTGTAACTGTTGT